GCTAACCGCTCCGCCACCGCTCCCCATGCAATCATTCACACGCCACACCTTTACCAACATCCGCCATTCTCTGACGGCACCCGTTCCAAGCTAGGTGCACTTTGAGGCTGTCACGTGAAGTGTCGCTGCAGGCGGCGGTCACGGGACAGACCCAGCAGATGCCGTGGGTCGACTGAGTGAGATGACCGGCAGATGCACCACCTGTGCCCCCCCTACTGTGCCCCGTGTAGCATTAACATGAAGGCCGGCACGGCACACGAGGGGTGGGTGGCCAGCACCACGCCCGTCCGCCTTGTCTTCCCAGTGGCGACGTTTACTACACACTGTACACAACCACCACCACACTGTATTTAACCACCATCACACCAACTCACCCAGCCCACACTGTGTTTAACCACCATCACACCAACTCACCCAGCCCACACTGTTTAACCACCATCACACCGACTACAACAACACCGACTCACCCACCCCACACTGTGTTTAACCACCACCACACCAACTCACCCACCCCACACTGTGTTTAACCACCACCACACCAACTCACCCACCCACACGTGTTTAACCACCACCAAACCAACTCACTCACCACACACTGTGTTAACCACCACCACACCAAGTCACCACACACTGTGGTTTAACCACCATCACACCGACTACAACAAACAACCGACTCACCCACCCCACACTGCTGGGTCACATCACGGTTTATCCCCTCGTCCCTCCGTCCCTCGCTGTGCTCCACGTTTCTAAATCTCTCCCCTCTCCCCGTCACCACCACCACCGTCACCACCCTCGCCACCACCCCCGTCACCACCTCCGTCACCACCATCCTCACCACCACCCCGCTCACCACCACCACCCTCACCACCCTCGCACCACCCCCGTCACCACCACCGTCACCACCCTCGCCACCACCCCCGTCACCACCTCGTCACCACCCATCCTCACCCCCACCCCCGTCACCACCACCACCCTAACACCCTCGCCACCACCCCCGTCACCACCACCGTCACCACCACGTCACCACCCTCGCCACCACCCCCGTCACCACTCCGTCACCACCATCCTCACCACCACCCCCGTCACCACCCTCGCCACCACCCCCGTCACCACCACCGTCACCACCCTCGCCACCACCCCCGTCACCACCTCCGTCACCACCATCCTCACCACCACCCCCGTCACCACCACCACCCTCCACCACCCTCGCCACCACCCCCGTCACCACCACCGTCACCACCCTCGCCACCACCCCCGCCACCACCACCGTCACCGCCACCACCCCCGTCACACCTCCGTCACCACCACCACCTCCGTCACCGCCACCACCCCCGTCACCACCGTCGCCGTCACCACCACCACCTCCGTCACCGCCACTACCTCGTCACCGCCACCACCCCCGTCACCACCTCCGCCACCACCACCTCCGTCACCGCCACCACCCCCGTCACCACCGTCGCCGTCACCACCACCACCCTCCGTCACTGCCACCACCACCGTCGCCACCACACCGTCGCCACCACCACCTCCGCCACCACCACCGCCGTCACCACCACCACCTCCGTCACCACCTCCGTCACCGCCACCACCCCGTCACCCACCTCCGCCACCACCACCTCCGTCACCACCACCACCTCCGTCACCCACCGTCGCCGTCACCACCACCACCTCCGTCACTGCCACCACCACCGTCGCCACCACCACCGTCGCCACCACCACCTCCGCCACCACCACCGCCGTCACCACCACCGCCGTCACCACCACCACCCTCACCACCACACCTCCGTCACCACCCACCACCACTTCCGCCACCACCCTCACCACCACTCTCGCCAGGCATCGCGGTCCACCGCTCCCAGCCGCGCGGCTCGGCCCTCAAGAAGTTCCTGTGCCAGGACTGCGGCAAGGGCTTCCGGCAGGCGACGGACCTGGTGCGCCACCGCAGCCTGCACACGGGCGAGCGCAACGCGCTGTGCGGCGTCTGCGGCAAGGGCTTCGCGCTGGCCAGCGACCTGGCGCGCCACGGGCGCACGCACGACCCCGCCGGCGAGCGCTTCCCCTGCTCCGAGTGCGGCAAACTCTTCGGCTGCCGCCGCTCGGCGCTGCTCCACGAGTCGGCGCACTCGCGGCCGCCGCCGCAGCGGAGCCGGAGAGGAGGAGGGGGAGGAGGAGGAGGAGGGGGAGGGAGGCCGCAGCAACTGCAGGAGGAGGAGGGGCAGACGCCGCTTGGCGAGGGCCAGGAAGCGCGACGCCGCCACCAACTCGGCCGTCGCCGCGGCGACCGCCGCTCTGCGCCTGCAGCACGCGTAGTGGTAGCCCCCCCCCTCCTGCTCCTCCCATTCCGAGGCGGAGGAGGCGGAGGAGGGTGGGCAGAGATGACGGCTCCACCGTCGCCCCGGGGCCAACTCGGCCTGCGGCCTTCGTAGTCGTGCCGTGGACGATCGGACGCTCAGGGTCTCCTCCAAGAGGAGGAGGAGGTGGAGGAGGCTGACCACGGTTGGCGATGGGCCAGCGAGCGCGACGGCTCCACCGCCGTGGCGGCCAACTTGGCCGTCACCGCCGCTTTGCGCCCGAAGCCTGCGTAGGAGGCCTCAGCTCGGGCGTGGACGCCGTGGTGGGTCGGGGCCTACAGGAGGAGGAGGATGAGGGCAGGCGACGGCTCCCCCGTCGCCGCAGCCAACTCGGCCTGCAGCTTGCCTAGGCGGCCCCCGGTCCGTCGTGCCGTGGATGGGCTGGACGGTCGCGGGCCCTACGGATTTGGCGCGGTCGGGCTACGTATGTACGTACGGTGCGGAAAGAAGTTGGACGTACGGGGGGGGCCTAGCAAAGGCTGCGGGAGTTGCCCTCGCAAAGATTCTCCGTGGAGACTCGGACGGACTGCCTGGTGCTGCGAGGGACGAGCGATCCCTGCCTCGGTCGCCCCTCCGCCAACCCCTTAGTGGACGCGAGGCCGACCCCGCCCACTCGTGTTCAAGGTTGTGTTGGGCCGAGGTTCCAGGGCCCGGGTCGATACGGCCGGCCGTGAAAGGCAGGCGGGCGGGCGGACGCCAACCGCTAAGTCGTTCGTCGAAGTTGGGGAGACGGGACGTTTAAATTAGCGAAAGCTGCTTTTATCGTCGGCTCAACTAGGCCTCGGCAAGGCAAGGTAATTTACCCTTTTTACCGGTAAAAAGGTACAGGGTAAAGGTGTCGACATGCCAAGGGGTAAGGTAAAGGGTACAGGGTAAAGGTAGCTCGGAAGAATTACCCAGTAGGGTAAAGATAGCGCGAAGTATTACCTGGTAAATACGGTGCCTTGTTTACCGCTAGAAGCTCCGTGGAGCAGTCCGTGGCCTACATTTAAAAAGTAATATTTAAACAAACTTTATTAAAAACACGCTTTTATTAAATGTACTAGTAATGGCAGAACTCCACGACTCCAGGAAGTGGCCCCGAAGCTTGCCATAACGTAAGGGACCGTGGCCAATTACAGCCAACGTCAGTTGAGCGTGGACAATTAGACCCAAGCCGAACATAACATCTAAAAAATAATGTTAAAAAATATATAGATTTTATGATAGAATATAGTCTTGTCATCAGTATGACCTAAGTATACCAAGTTTGCAGTCGATACTACATTAGAAAGTGGGTAAAAATTGAGTTTTAAGATTTGAGGATACAACAATAACGACAGAGTGAGTTAAAAGAAAGCGTGTAAAATTTTAATAATCTAGAGTATTCTATATGAATAAAGCGCTCTGCTTAGCATTTACCGTTATAAACCTTGTTTATGTGTAGTAGTTCCCTAGTAATTACCCTGTAATCGGGTAATTTGTATAGGGTAAGGGTAAAAGGTAGGGTAGAGTGATTGTATTGTGGTAAGGTAAAGGGTAGGGTAAAGGTAGACTTGTTGTTTTTACTTTTTAACTTTTACCTTGCCGAGGCCTAGGCTCAACGACGTTTCGATTCTTGGTAACGCTTTCCCTGGGGGTGATTTTTCGTTAAAAAAAATAATAATTGGAGAGAGAAAAGACGCGGCTTGTAGTGGCCCTGTTCCTGAAGGCCTCCGCCCGCGTTCGGGAAGAATCGTGTTACAATAAACAATCTAACGGCAGCAGACCCTCGATCGTCTGCGCTAACGACGGCCGCGGATAATCCAACAGTGTTCATTTCTCGCGGATGTCTATGCCAAAAATCAATCACGAGTTTAGAAAATGGAGTTGGTTCATGAACAAAACTACAATTTGTAACAATTAATGTATCCATCTTGTTTTATTGCAAAAGTCAATTTCGATTCGGGGGCGACCAATCAGAAGACTCCGCCCACTGAGTGGATGACAGCAGAACCACAGCCAATCAGCATCAATCAAACTCTGCCCCACTGGATGACAGAGCCACAGCCAATCAACATCAATCAAACTCCGCCCCACTGTTGTAAAGATATGGCAACTACTGTACTGTAGAGGCGATCATGTGGATTTGGTATTAACCGGAACGTATTTGTTGGGTTGAAGCACCGTTTGACTCGTAGTAAATATTCCCAAGAATTGCAATGTGCGGCAGCTTTTTAAATTATTAAGTAATGGGCTGAAGGGAAAATCCACGAGTTGTTACTAATACCGTCAAATTGTGAGGTGCGCGGTTAATCCGCAAGTCGTATGAACCGCACGCGGATGATCGAGGGTCTGCCGTGCAGGGCAAAAGCGCGGTCCTCGATAACACCGCGAGATGCTACACGTCGGGCCGAACAGAGGCAGCAGCATCAAGAAGAATCCAGCAGCATCCCAATGCCGCCTTGTGCGACGACGGTGGTGATGATGCTACGCCGATGGTGGTGATGCTACGCCGGTGGTGATGCTACGCCGAGGCAGCCGCCCTGCAACCACTGCTGTGTTCCGACTGGCGCGCGACGTAGTTCCGTTCAACTCGGATCGCGCGACAGATCCAATTCACATCCGCGGTACAAAAACAGCGTTCCCGCATTACATCCATCGCGCCTTGTCCAATTCGCGTTGTGAAGACGACACACACGGCGTTAGAGCAGAATAGACTGCAAACGACCAAAAGTAGATGATTCTAAATAAAGTTTTTTTTGTGTTCGATGGCTTTAGTCTAAATGTCGTGTCGTTAACCCTCCATTGCCAAGCCAATTCGTGAGGTTGTCACGTGAACCAGACGTGGCAATCGGTGACTGCAACAACCACCGCTGTTGGAGAGTAAAACCCACGGCAACCTTTGCAGTTGCAAAGGTTGTGGGTTAACATTTAGAAAAAGGATACCCGAAATAGTTTTTTTTTATCTGTTAACGAGTTTAAAGGATTCATATTTTTGGTTCTTTCGGTAAAGTCACGTAGAAGGGAAAAAATTTAATAAAAAATAAAATTCTCACGTTTCGATTGCAGCACAAGCAATCATCAAGTGTGAAAACCACAGCAATAATTTCTTATAATTTCTTGCTGTGGTTTTCACACCTGATGATGATTGCTTGTGTTGCAATCGAAACGTCGTGATAATGTTGTTTTATTTTTATTGTTTTGCCTTTACGCGACTTTACCGAAAGAGCTGAGAATATGATTCCCTGCAGTCACGAAAGCTTTAAATCGGAGTTTAAAGGAGTAATAAAAGTGAGGTTTGAGGCCTGGTGCGAGGTGCAACTGGGGCAAGATGTTGACTCCCTCGCCTGGTCTACAGGAGGTCGTGGGTTACATCCAGACCCGCTGACGCCTGCTGCTGTATATTTGGAGTTTACGTGTCTCTCTCATCATCATCACAGTGGCAAGATGTTAACTACCTCGCCTGGTCTACGGGAGGTCGTGGGTTTGATCCCAACTGCTGTATGTTTGGAGTTTGCGGTGTCTCTCATCACAGTGGCTAGGAGATGTTAACTACCTCGCCTGGACTACGGGAGGTCGTGGGTTTGATCCCAACTGCTGTATGTTTGGCGTTTGTCTCTCTCTCCGTGGTCGTCCTGTGGATTTTCTCTAGGTCCCCCCGGTTTTTGCCTTCCACTTTGAAATCGACTTCACGCATTTCGAGTATTTGGCTGCGGCAATACATCTCCACGTGACGATGACGACAATAGCTCAGTGGGGCCCTTACCTGCTAAATCGTCACCGTAAAAGGGGAGTTGGGGACTTTGCCCAGATGTCCAATTTCACCTCGAAATCGGTGATTTTCCCGGCCGCCTTCAATGGAGGCAGCAATGCAAACTCCCTCGCCGGTTTCCACTCCATGGCTTGTAGGGCATCTGTACGTAAAGTATATTTTACTGGTAGGAACCTCCTGGTTTACACCAGCCCACAGGGGATTGTGTCCGTCCGTCGTGCATCCAAAATTGGGAGGTGGGGCTGGGTGGAGGGGAGGGTGGGGAGGGGAGGGTGGGGAGGGGCTGGGTGGGGAGGGGAGGGGCTGGGTGGGGAGGGTGGGGGCTGGGTGGGGAGGGTGGGGGGTGGGAGGGGAGTGGCTGGGTGGGGAGGGGCTGGTCACCCCGTGGTGCCCTTATAAAACTCAACGTTTAACCTACTCACGCCGGCTTGTGCCCGCCCTCAGTCAGGCATATTTGCGGAATACACCACGCCGCCGTTGACCCTGGCCATTGACCGAGCAACCGAACGTTCCTACCAGCTCCCTCCGCAGGAATGTGTTTATCATCACGTGGGCATTAAACGTGTGATGTTGATTCTAAACGTGGACGGAAAAATCGGAGGGACCTGGAGAAAAATCGACACGACCACGGGGAGGGAGAGAGAGACACGCAAACTCCAAATATACAGCAGCAGCAGGCATCATCGTCAGGGTCGGGATCGAACCCACGACATCCTGTATACCAGGCGAGGGAGTTGACATCTCCTGGCCACCACGGCACACACGTACACGCGTAGGGACGCTGGACTTCTTCCACGCCGTACGTAGCCGGCCGCGTTGTGCAGACGGAAACCCGCGGTGGGTGCACGGCGGCGCGCGGCATTTTATTCCCTCACTTTTTCTTCTCCAAAACGTTGCGAATCACCGTGTTGTCAAATTTATTCTCCCCCCCCACCCCCTCAGTTCCCGACTCCGTCGTGTGGCGAACGTCGCGGCGCAACGACGTCCGTGCGTTCATTTTTTGTTGTCGTTACGTTCCAATCCCCCCTCCGTGCCCGCTCCTGGACACATCGGTTTTCAATATTCTGGTTACGATTCTGGGCCACCACCGTTGTCCCAGGACACGGCCACGGGTGTTTTTTTCCCGCTGGCACATCCAGTGCCTGGCCCTGGGCATGGCAACGGGTGTTTTATTTCCTCCTCGACTTGCACAATCCGGAGCCAAGCCAGTGCCAAGGGGCTCGGCACGGCACTGGTGGTTTTTCGACTGGCACATCAGAGCCGTGCCAGTGCCTGGGCCTGGCCCAGCACGGGTGGTTTTTCTACTGACACATCAGAACCGTGCCAGTTCCTGGGCCTGGCCTAGCACGGGTGGTTTTTCTACTGACACAGAACCGTGCCAGTGCCTGGGCCTGGCCCAGCACTGGCACATCAGAGCCGTGCCAGTGCCTGGGCCTTGCCCAGCACGGGTGGTTTTTCGACTGACACATCAGAGCCGTGCCAGTGCCTGGGCCTGGCCCAGCACGGGTGGTTTTTCGACTGACACATCAGAGCCGTGCCAGTGCCTGGCCCTGGCCCAGTGGCTTTCCCCACTGGGCGATTTGCCGATCAAGAGTCGGAACCAAACCTCTGGCTGCG